TCCCTCATAGCACACTGTATGGCGTATGCCCGTCTTCATTAACCCAGTTCGGAGCAGAACAGTAGGATGTTAAACCCCATTTTATTTCATTTCATTTCCTCCTTGATAACTAAGATATTTTGAGACTAATATGTCAGAGAATCTGATGTGTGAGAACCTAGTTTGTAAAGTACCAGAGGTCCCCCTCGGTCGATCCCCGATATCTTGGTATCCCTTTCTCTCTCCCTCAATTTAAACTATATTAAAACACCCTCTCTCCTCTTCCCTTTCTTTCTCTCTCTCTCTCTCTCTCTCTCTCTCTCTCTCTCTCTCTCTCTCAAAGCTATTTTAAAACTCTCTCTGTCTCTCTCCCCTTGGTATACCTTTCAATCAATCCTATATTAAAACCCCCTCCCCCCTCCTTCCCCCCTTCAAATCATTTAAACCCGATTAAAACAAACACTGAATTGTACTTAAATCGTAAACCGGACAGAAATAAAGATAACAACTCGGAAACAATATTTAAAAGATTTATTGAGGTTGTTTCTGTAACACGTCATTTGTTATTGGCCTGATATTTTTATCTGCACATCTTTTAAGAATTCTACAAACCAACCAACATCAATTAATAAAAGAGTATTAAAAAGACTGTGTAGGCCGTTTAAATTCATTTCAAAAACTGAAACAATTTCTAAGATGAATAACTACTCTTGTGAATTAATGTTATTAGGAGAACATTGCGTTGTTTTTTCACAAGCTGCGAATATTTTGTAAAACATTACTACACCAGTGTGTTGCACACTTTTTTGCAAATTATCTGCTTGGTTGTCATGGAAATAGAAATTCTTCCAAGAAAAAATGGCTGTAGAAGAAACTATTAATCAATTTAAGTTTGTCATGAGCTGCAAGCATTTTTTACGTGATGTGCAATTCCACGTGTTTTTATGGTCCAAGTTGTGCTGCATGATTTTTTATACCGTTTTGCAGATACTGTTTTGAGCTGCAGAAGAATTTAAAGGTTTATTGTACAACATTGCATAGAGTAGTATTCACGTTATAACTCTTTCTGTCGTGGTCAGAAATTTAATTGTAATTGTTTCAACTCAGTGTTTATTTTAACCAATAGCATACTTTTAATGATTTCACTGATTCAGAAAACTGTCCATTTCTTTTATTTTTTCCCCAGCGCGATAATAATGTAGTGCCACGGCAACAAGGCAGTGTGAGATGACCTTGAAACTGACATGAAAGTTTGCAAACTTTTTTTCCACAAGAGAATCAGTTGCAGGAATCTTGGGATCAAACTGCCAGCAAGTCTTTGAGTTTGATTGGAATCTTGAACCTATTCAACTCAATCTCTGGAATGGTCGAACAATTACATGTGTTTTAAACAAAGGGTGTATATATATATATATATCTCATCAAGGTTTTTATCAGGTACATTTCACTCAGAGATAACATGTGGTTTAAAGAGGCAGTGGGATGAATTAATGTTTACATTTTGATTTATTCATTGTCAGTGTGGGAGGGAGAGACAGATGGGATGACAGAGAGAGAGAGAGAGGGTGGGAGAGAGAGATGGGATGACAGAGAGAGGGAGAGAATGAGAGAGAGAGAGGGTGGGAGAGAGAGAGAGAGAGATGGGATGAGAGAGAGAGAGAGAGAGAGAGAGAGAGAGAGAGAGAGAGAGAGAGAGAGAGAGAGAGAGGGTGGGAGAGAGAGAGAGAGAGAGAGAGAGAGAGGGTGGGAGAGAGAGAGAGAGAGAGAGAGAGAGAGAGGGGGGGGGGAGAGAGAGAGAGAGAGAGAGAGAGAGAGAGTGTGGGAGAGAGAGAGAGAGAGAGAGAGAGAGAGAGAGAGAGTGTGGGAGAGAGAGAGAGAGAGAGAGAGAGAGAGAGTCTAACAACCAATCAACAAAAATTAGGTAGTATTAGGATAAACATATTGTCTTTAGCAGTGGGAGAGAACCAGTGGACCCGGAGAAAACCAAGGAGATTGGGCAGGCAACCCTACTCCTTGTAACATACAAGCTTTTAATCGAAACCGCGTCACTCGTCTCCATGACAGACCTTATGATATAAAGTTCAGTTATTAGACAACTTGACCACTTCTATTTCTGAGACATGTCTTGTAAACATTTGCGTGCACGTAAAAGAACCCTTGACAGTTGGAATTCGTTATAAGAGTAGGCCGTAGCGTCGCTATTCGGGCAAAGTTTCCTATTTTGGAGACATGTCTTGTAAACATTGGCGTGCACAAGGACAGCTGTTTAGTCATTCGGATGGGACAAAAAAACGAGGTACTGTGTACAGATTGGCGTACACGTAAAAGATCCCTTAACAGTTGGAAGTCGTTATAAGAGTAGGCCGTAGCATCGCTATTCAACTACAGTTTCCCTCACTTCATCTGATGTGTACGATTGTTGTTTGTGATGTCCGTATATTGTGTCTTGTTCGTAGATTTGTCTTGTATATTTGTTTGTGTGTGGTGCAGTCCTCCTGCACACTGTATGGCTTATGTTCGTCTTCATTAGTGGGGAGAACGCTAGATCGGAGACGGTCCTGGGCATTTTATGACTTCATATGTGGATTGTGGGTTAGGGTAAGGGCTAGGACCTTCAGATATCGCCATAGTCTTGAGATGTAGACAGGGCTAGCCCTAGCCCTAACCCTGGGCCAAGCCTAACCCTTACCCTAACCCATAATCCACATATGACGTCATAAAATGAGCAGGACCGTCTCTGATCTAGCGTTCTCCCATTAGGGGAGCCATGGTGGCTAAGTTGCAAGACGCTGGCTAGCTAGTCTGGAGGTCGCATGTTCGATCCCTGCATTGGCCGTGAAAATTAATCGGGATTTTCCAACGAGGTTTCCAGTGGTGCAGAACAAAGGCCTTGACAGCTACATTAAAGATCCTTGGCATGTACATGAAAGATCCCTTGGCAGTTGGAATTCGATATAAGAAGAATAGGCCATTGTGCCGCTGCCTGGGGGAAGTTTCCCTTATAGCACACTGTATGGAATAAGCCCGTCTTCATTAGCCCAGTATAGGAGCAGAACAGTAGGACGTTAAACCCCATTTCATTTCCGTCTTCATTAGCCCAGTTGGTGCAGAAAAGTAGATAATTATATCCCATTTCATTTTATTTCGTCTTGGTGCACCTTTAACTTGGGGGTGTGTGGATGGCCGAATGGTTAGCACGTGCTTGCTGTGTCATAAGGTCTGTCATTGAGTCAACTGGCGTGGTTTCGATTCCCCGGTTGTACGTGACAAGGAGTAGGGTCGCTTGTCTAACCACGTGGGTTTTCTACGGGTCCTCCAGTTTCCTCCCACTGCTAAAGATCCCTACCTTCGGAAGCGAATTATTGAAATAAAATAGAACCATATGTTGGTCCAGCAATGCGCTAGTCTGTGTCGAGTGGAGGTTAAACCTCTCTCTGTCTCTATCTCTCTCTTTAACTTGTATATAATTGTTTTGCCCTTATCTAAATGATATAACTATTCTCAACAATTAATCTACATGGTAATCATTTACTGACTTCAATTAGATTTGACCCTACATTTTATTTTATTCGTATGTAAATCAATGACCAAGCGGCCATGACCCTCTCACTCCATCTGGACCATGATCCTCTCCGTATTCAGATATGACCCCTAACCTTAATCAGCTATAACCTCTCCTTCCATTTTTTTTTAATAGATGTGCTATATAGATTAATCAACCAAAATAATACTGTCTCAAAAAATGTCTTAAAATGCCTGGATATGGTTGATAACAGACCTGACAATAAGACTTATACCTTCCATTCTTATATATATAGCCTAGGGGAGGCACTTTGACTAAGTGGGTAAGACGTTGGCTCACTAGCTTGGAGGTCACCATCTTCAATAGAAGGCTTGATCTCACTTTAACTACGTACATCTTATGAAGGCCTTCACGCAATACCCTGCATATTTCGATTGGGTACAAGCTCATCTTGGGAGTCTATCACATTCCTCGATCGTCGCGAATACCAAGTCTCAAGCAGGTCCTTTTGTCACAACCTCTGATTGGACGTTACTGATCACGTGCCTGTAGATAACGTAGCTATAAGTTCGGGAATTGTTAAGTAATCTAGCAACGTCCAGATGTTGTAAAACTCGCAGTCGTTGCTTCAGGAACATTGGAGGTCACGGGTTCATTCCCGATATTGGCCGAGAAAGTCCATTCTTCATTATCCCAGTCGGAGCAGTGCAGTAGGAAATTAAACCACATTTCATTTCTTATATATATTTAAAATACAGATGTGACGTCATCCTTTGATGTTGGCGTATCATTATTTCAAATAATGGTACGAGCAATGTGCCAATCGTACATTATCTATACTAGTTGTAATATTGGACCCGCATGACGTATTTCATTGAAATGCACGTGCCGAATAGTGTCTGTATTTCAAGCTGTTTATTGGACCCGCATGACGTATTTCATTGAAATGCACGTGCCGAATAGTGTCTGTATTTCAAGCTGTTTATTGGACCCGCATGACGTATTTCATTGAAATGCACATGCTGGATAGTGTCTATATTTTAAGGTGTTTAATGGTCTCATGCTATCGCACTCGTACAATACCAATATATTACACAATAACTCGCACTCGACCATTAAACAATACGTAATATATAAGTTAAATATAAATTTAATTACATTAACTGCCAATAAAAGTAACTATTCATATCTTTGCTCATAAAAACTAATTTAAATAAATTATTTTAACATATTCATTTGTCATTACCTATTTTTTAAATTATTATAGCAAGAACTGTCAGCTTTATATCTAAATCTTACATAATACATCTTTTAAGACACAAAGAAAATAAAACTCTAAAAATAGAGGATAAAATCAAATATGATATCCTGTAAAAGAAAAAGTTCTGAATTCTTGCCGAGGAAATACAAGCCTCAAACAGACGACACTATGTTTGTCGGTGTGAATTCCGAGTCCTCTCAATATTTATTTGATATGAAAATATAAACAAACGCTCACCTTGGGCTATAAAAATTTCATAATACTGTAGCAGGTTTGCCCTCTGTAAGACACGATATAGCTGCCACTCCGAAGAGTTCGATGGCTGTGCCGTCGTCATGGTCACCCCTATATTTCCTAGAAAAAAATAAAAAAGTAAAATTAGGTTTTATATTTTAATTGTAATCAAAAAATATTTAATTCAGAGACAATTCAGTAAAAAATAAAAAAAATAAAATTAAAAAAAATATCGAAAGCTCTTCTGAGTTGTTTTGAAATCAAGTGCGAAACATTACGATCAAGGAGTCTCGGGTTCGATAATGGTGTCAAGAAAGTTCATCAGGATTTTCTAGCCAGCCGTGTTTACAAATGTCAGCAGATTGGAAGGAAGATCGGATCGAGGGCCTGGCAAAGAAAAGTATACTATCTAGTCCTTCGGAAGAAATGACATCTTGTGTATACCATGAGCAGCACGTTAAAGATCCACTGCCAGATGTATTTGGGATTTTTTTTTTAATGATCCTCATAGCGTGGAGTATGCCCATCTTCATTAGCCCAAATTTCATTTTTAATTAATTTTATCTCTTTGTTTTTGATGGGGATACATTAGACAGGACAGGAGATAGTATACGCAGGACAAGGGATAGTTTAGACAGGACAGGAGATAGTTTAGGCAGGACAAGGGATAGTTTAGACAGGACAGAAGATAGTTTAGGCAGGACAAGGGATAGTTTAGACAGGACAGGAGATAGTTTAGGCAGGACAAGGGATAGTTTAGACAGGACAGAAGATAGTTTAGGCAGGACAAGGGATAGTTTAGACAGGACAGGAGATAGTTTAGGCAGGACAGGGGATTGTTTAGGCAGGACACAGGATAGTTTAGGCAGGACAGGGGATAGTTTAGGCAGGACAGGGGATAGTTTAGGCAGGCAGGACAGATACTTTAGGCAGGATAGGGGATAGTTTAGGTAGGACTGGGGATAGTTTAGGCAGGACTGGGGATAGTTTAAGCGTGACTGAGGATAGTTTAGGCAGGACAGGGGTGGTTTAAGCGGGACTGAGGATAGTTTAGGCAGGACAGGGGATGGACAGGGGATAGTTTCAGAACAGGGGATATTTTAGGAGATAGTTTATGTAGGACTGGGGATATTTTAGTCCAGGTTACTTTTAGTTAAACATGCATTATACAAGAGCAAAATCTGCTTATTACAAGTCTTTCTTTAGGCCTGAAATGTTATCTAAATTATCAATTAGACATTAATTAACTTATCCAGACCATAATAAACTCTCAATGTCAAGGCTAGCCTTCGATGTTGGCTGGATTAGATTCCTATATGCAGCTAATAGCCAATGATAATTAAATCAGAAAAAGTGGATAATCGAGACTAGCTGTTTATATTAATGATTTTAGTAATGATGACCGAGACTATGCAAAAATTTCACCTGCTTCTTTCTTGGCTCATAGTAGATCAATTTGACTGAAATTTCCAGCAAATTACCTTTACACTATCTAGTTTTTAACTATTATAGCGAGAACTGCCATCTCTTTATCTTACCTCCCATAATGTATCTTTAAGGCAGGAATGGGGATAGTTTGTGGAACCCGAATGTATAATACCCACTAGAACTCGACCCCATTAAATGGCCATGTGTTGACCTTTTCTGTCAAAAATCTTTTGAAGGCTCAATTGAAACCTTAAATGAGGAAAAAAATTTATTTTCTTAGTAATTTATTTTTCCAAATATGAGGTTCCCACAATTTGCTTCGTGCAGATACGTTCTATATGATCAACATGATTGCTGCGACTGACCTCAATTTATGGTAAGACCTGATAGGAGAGAGAAAGAGAAATGGGGTTTAACGTCCACTCGACACAAACTAGGTCATTTCGGGACTAACATATGGTTTAATTTTATTTTAATAATTCGCTTGCGCGTAGTGGTCTTTAGCAGTGGGAGGAAACCGGAGGACACGGAGAAAACCCACGTGGTTGGACAGGCGACCCTACTCCTTGTCACGTACAACCGGGGAATCGAAACCCCGCCAGTTGACTCAATGACAGACCGTTTGATACAGCGCGCGCGTGCTAACCATTCGGTCATCCACCCCCCCAGACCTGATAGGATCTCCACAATTAAAACCACAATTTCATTTGCAGCATGAATCGTGATAGTGGGGAACCTAGCATTAGTCTATAATATATGTTTAAACGTAAAATAGGGTCCATGATTCAGAAAAAAAACATTATTAGGGTTTGGGCACGACATGACAACAAGTCATCTCTTTGGCCATTCATTCATTTTTTGGTTATGGACAAAGTTTTAAGATGGAATTATGAGCTTATTTTTTATCCTTTTGCTAAATAATTTTATTTGAGTGAACTGGCATGGTTTCGAATCCCTGGTTGTATGTGACAAGGAGTAGGATTACCAGTCCAAGCTTGTGGGTTTTCTCCGGGTCCTTAGATTTTCTCCCACTGTTAAAGACCCCTACGTGTAAGCAAATTATTGAAATAAAATCGAACAATATGTTAGTCCCGAAATGACTCTCTCCCTCCCCCTCCCCCTCCCCCATCTCTCTCTCTCTGATTTCTATTTAAAGAACTCTTTTGTCATCTCCCGTTAGAAATTATTAATAAATCACATACAACTATCAGCTTCTACACATTGAACTTTAAAAAAAATATATTATATTTTTTATTTCTCACAAAAAATCTTGTTTCTACAGATAGATCTAATGATATATTGGTTAAATGGTCAAAAAATAGACACAAAATAGACGAGATATGGGTCTTAATGTTCACTTAATAAATACATCTATTTGTAATTTTGTCATAGCCATTTTCTCCACTCTTAAATAACTTCCTTTTTCACAATCCATGTTATTTTTTTTTTTAAATTTTTTCTTTCTTCTAAATAATAGTATTAGTTCTATTTTGTCAAGATAAATAAGTATTTTATTTTTTACACTATTGTAGTTCGATAGCGAGCGTGGATTCTGCAGAATCAAATTTATCAAGCATATAAAAACCAAATAATCGTATAAAATGGGGAAAAGAAATTTTTCGTATTTTATTTGATGAGTCAGTTACAGTTTTAAACGAATCACTTATTCATAAATCTTCCGATCTCAAACATCAAGTAACCACGGTGGCTCAGTGAGTAAAAGAGAGAGAGAGAAATGGAGTTTAACTTCCACTCGAAACAAACTAGGTCATTTCGCGACTAACGTATGGTTTAATTTTATTTTAATAATTCACTTGCGCGTAAGGGTCTTTAGCAGTGGGAGGAAACTGGAGGACCCGGAGAAAACCCACAAGCTTAGACAGGCAACCCTACTCCTTGTCACGTACATGTACAACCCGGGAATCGAAACCCCGCCAGTTGACTCAATATCAGGCCTTATGATACAGCGTGCACGTGCTAACTATTCGGCCATCCAACCCCCACTGCTCAGTAAACATGAGGTCCTGTGTTCGATCCCAGAGTGTGTGTTTGTGAAATAGCTTTATTTAATATCCGCTTCCACCGATGTGATATCGCAGACAATCGATCCCAGTGTTTATACAAGTTTTCCAGCGAGGTTCCCTCTAGTTATTAGTGCAAAACAGATGAGCTGGCAAGGGACAATGTATAGTCGTTCGAATAGGACGAAAAGTCGAGGCCCCTTACTTGTACCCTTGACAGTTAGTATTCGAAATAAGATTACGCCATTTTGCCGCTGACTGGGCAAAATGTCCCGAATAGCACACTGCATAGTGTCATAAAGATTGACGCCCATCTTCATTAAACCCATTTCATTTCATTTCTAAACACAGAGAGAGAGAGATGGGATTTAACGTCCACTCGACACAAACTTGGTTATTTCGGGACTAGATATGGTCCAAGTGAAATTTTGAAATAAAATTGAACCATATGTTAGTCCCAATATGAAATATTTTGTGTCGAGTGGACATTAAACCCCATTTCTCTCTTTCTCTAAATCTCACATAATGCCTCTTTAAAGGGACAATAACACTCTTGCTGGCTTGACAGCACCAGAAAATAAAAAATAGCCTTATTCTAAGTACTAGATGTGTTAGTGTCCTACCTGTTGTGTAAATTATCCATTAAATCCTATTTTACTTGTCCAGGGGCCTGTTTCACGATAATTTAGCTAAGATAAAATCCAAATTTTAGTAATTTGATTGGAGAATATTAGATTGATTTTAGTGCTTAGCCAATCAAAATTGAAGTATCTACTAAAATTTGGATTTTATCTTTAGTTAAAATTTCGTGAAACAGGGCCCAGAGGGTTCAAAAATATTTTTTAATCCAAGTCACATTTGAAAAGCTTTACGTCAGGCTTTTCAAATCATTTAGTTGAATTTTTCCAATTTTTTAAATTAGGTGTGCTAAGATGAAATTTGTATCATCAATTAATTGGAATATTGTAAAATAGTACAATTTGTTGACCAGAATAAAGATTGGGACATATTATTCAGTTACAACAAGAGTGGTATTGAGCCTTTAAGCATAATTAAAAATCAACTTTGTGTATGGTACATGTACATACCACTCAGTAGAAAAAAAATTATTTTTAGGAGAAACTTGTGGCTTCTATCTAACATTTCCTCAATGCACTTAATATTAAAAAATTAAATAATTCATTCTTTTATTGTGAATAACAAATGAATATAAATTAAATTTCTCAAACAAAATATCGCCATGACATTTCTATAAACTTATTTTTGTTCTTGATTAGTTTTTTTTATAAAACTGCAATGAAATAAATTATACTTCAATTTTTTTGTAGATTGAAACTGAAGGGTTTTTATTGTGACATTATCAATTAAATCGGAACAAGTGAATCTCTTGTTTTATCTGATGACATGACAAACATGGCATTTAATATTGTGGTATATTAACTTTATACTAAGCAAAGGAGGGGGGAGGGGGAAATAAAACTTGATATCACCCAAAATAACGAGAGTTAAAATAAAACTAGATATTACTGAGAGAGAGAATTAAAGTAAAACTAGATATCACCAGAGAGAGAGAGAGAGAGTTAAATTAAAACTAGATATCACCATAGAGAGAGAGAGAGAGAGAGAGAGAGAGAGAGAGTTAAATTAAAACTAGATATCACCAGAGAGAGA